CAGCAGCAGCTGTATTGTGGCAAGAATAGAAAAAGGTGGAAACGCATGATTCTGCAGTGACTTCTGATGTCTTTTCTCCTCCCACAACATTGTGTCTGCAGAGAGGTTACTCTTCCTTTTCTCTTCATCCAAAGAGGAATCTCAGAAAGTGACCATCAATGTATATGTATGTATGTATATATATATATATATATATATATATATATATATATATATATACATATACATTTGCCATGTCAAATCCCAAACCTGTGTGTTAACGTGATAGCCTGGTCACACGGAGGTAATCCCCCCCCCCCCCCTCCCCCTCTGACAGGAAGCTCGTCATTAGCCAGCGATTGTGGGGGATGCGGATGATGAGGCTCTCAAACGACGACCCCCATCCTACTCTTCCTCCTCAAAGTTTCTCCTTGTGAGTTGCAGGGAGTTTTCTGATTCTCGTTTGGGAACTAATTCTCTACATTACTTTGTGCATCCGGGGTGAAGATGGCACAGTGAGACTCAAGCCCTTTTATTATGTTCACTGGTCCACGACAACTGAGAAGGTTTCCTGGGGATATTTTTTGGTTATACATTTTTTATTCTATTCAGCTGGATCATGTCTCCTCAGAGTGGAAATTACCTTTACTCCTTCTCCCTCTTTAGGAAAAGAAAATAGCAATGCTCATATTCTGAAGGTCCCATCATAAGGAGGGGCCATATTTAATAATCAGAGAAAATTTATTGTGATCTTTAACTAGGGAAACAAAGAGGTGGTAACATTATTGATACCTTTGTTTCCTACCGGCCCGATCCTGTTTACTCAGCCGGAGGGCTCGAGCCGACTGGGACCAGCTTTACAAGTTTAACAGAGAGAGAGAATCTCACCGGTAGACTTGGACTCCCCCCGAACCGGCTGAAGGAGAAACCTGAAGCACTCAGGGGGAAACCCGAGAAACAGAACAAGAACCCGGGAAGAATCCAGCCAGGACTCAGACTTGATCAAGACTCCAACTCAAAGACTTGAGACTTGATCTGGACCCCAACTCAAGAACGACCCATGAACCACCGGGTCCGTTACAGTGAGGACCGGCATTGACGACCATCAAAGGAGGACCGGGAGAACCCCACGTTGAGGTTGACCGACGCTGATGGATGAGGCCGGAGTCTGGAAGCACAGCCGCGCCCCCCCCCCCCCCCCCCTCCATTTTGCTCATATTAAGTCACCCATTGTTGGGCCGCAGCAGGGGACAATGACTTCCTTTTTTGTTGAGAAGGCAGCCGGGCGGCCATCACTGGGTCCTGTGTGCTGTGGCCTTCGAGGCTAGCAGGGAGACAGGGAGAAGCATAAAGGGAGGGAGACAGCGAGCCCCGGATCCCATTTTCTGGCCAGAGCTTCAAATGGGAGGACGTGGTGTTAGTGGGTACGCTGACAGAGAGAGGGAGAGAGAGTGAGAGGAAGTGGTGGGGAGGAGAAGGATACGGCATATGGGCCACATCTCCATCTGATGGTCCTTGAGGGGCCGCCAGTAGCTGAACTAGACTTCTGTTCTGTACCCATCCCTGCTGACCTAAAGTCTCGCTCACCATTTACGTCACGTGGAGTGGAGAGAGAGCAGGTGCAAGTGTATATATATATATATATATATATATATACACACACATATATACACATATTTATCTCCTTAAATATGTATATATATACTACATCTTCTAGTCGCTTTGTTGAGAAGAAGGATGTCTGTGCAGAGTGAAGGTAGAAGCACCTTCACATTACTCTGCTGAGGTCATTTTTCGCATGAGAACCCTAACCCACATTTTAAAAAACAAACTGTCTGATGCAGTGGTGCGGTTTCATGTTGATATCTACTCTTTCATTCACTAAAGGCTCCTCTTAATGTAGTGATGAGTGTTGGAGGTTCTTGTTAATATCTAGTCTTTAATATAATAAATAAAAGTAAAACAATCTAAACATCTCTAATGTTTTCAGTGAAGTGTTAGACTGCTTTAAGACTTTTCCTGATAAAATCTGTACATATAAAGATATATATATATATGTATGTATTAGATCACTCTCCCATAATCTACCTAACGGGTAACCTGGCGTGGATCTGTGTAGGAACCTTGTCCTCTTACTACTGGAGTTCCTCACGGTTCCGTCCTGGGTCCCCTCCTCTTCTCGCTCTACACCAACTCTCTCGGCGCTGTCATTCGCTTGCATGGCTTCTCCTACCACAGCTATGCCGATGACACGCAACTAATTCTCTCCTTCCCTCCCTCGGACACCGTGCCGGACAGGTGGCGGCACGGATCTTTCCGGGAAAAGATTCTCCTACCCAGGACCTGACAGTCAACTTTGGCAACTCTGTGTTAACGCCCACTTTAACTGCTAGGAACAATCGGCGTGACTCTTGACAGTCAACTTTCCCTGACTCCCAACATCACTGCGACAACACGATCCTGTAGATACACGCTCTACAACATCAGGAGAATATGTCCCCTTCTCACTCAGAAGACGGCGCAGGTAATGATTCAGGATCTTGTCATCTCCCGCCTGGACTACTGCAACTCTCTCCTGCAGGTCTCCCTGCTACCGCTATTCGACCTCTGCAGCTCATCCAGAATGCAGCAGCTCGACTGGTCTTTAACCTTCCTAAATTCTCCCACACTCCACTCCTCCGCTCTCTTCACTGGCTACCGGTGGCTGCCCGCATCCAGTTCAAAACACTCGACTAGATCACGACTCTTTGCTGTCCTTGCTCCGAAATGGTGGAACGAGCTCTCTGAAGACACCAGGACCGCAGAGAGCGTTCACATCTTCCTCCGCAAACTAAAGACACACCTCTTCAGACTCTACCTCGACTAAATGACTAACAAATTGTAGCACTTAAATTGTACTTGTAACACCACTTATCTATAGCAAATAGTACATTGACTTAATTGAGGAAATTGCACTTTCTTGTTTCTTGTTCTTCTAAATTTGTATCCCTATGGTTTAATGCACTTATTGTAAGTTGCTTTGGATAAAAGCGTCAGCTAAATGACATGTAATGTAATGTAATGTAATTTAATAATGTGTATGGTAGCAATTTGTGTACTGGGCTACACATGGGATTCATTCATGTCACGATTAAATTGTTATTATACTAATAAATGTCAAAATATTCTCAAAATTGAAAATGGCACTAAAAAATTTGAACTGCTTAACCTTAAAATTAGTTAAGAAATTATTTGACAAAATGGTGTGTCTTCAACAGATGTTTTCTGATCAATATCATTGGTGATTTTAAAACGTATTCATTAATAATAGCATATATGTGTCAGCTCCTCCCATGGCCTCTGTTACACAACCTGTACCACTTGTGATTGTAAAGGATTATTTACTTTTACTTTGTGTTTATATTTTAATTCCCCTATGGACTAAACTTTTTTTTCCATAAAATGTTCAATGAGGACCCCGGAAAGCAGTGGTCTTCACTGGCCTCAGGTGGCTCAGATTAAAGTGCAGACTGGCATTTAAAAAGCACAGTTGGATGAGCAGCTGCATGTGAACATTCTTTAAAAGTGAGGAAGTATCTCCTCTTAGTGGATGAAACAGGAAGTAGGTTTGAGAGAGCAGTCGTTCACCGGTTTCTTTTGACAACAATTCTGGTATTTTAAGGAGAAGGAGTGGTACGTCAAAAAAGTATTCACTCAACTTATATATATATATATATATATATATATATATAAAAATAATATATATTCCATCATTGAGGCTAGTTAGATAGGATTAGTCTTACATTTTCAAACAATGAAATAAATGGAAACAGTTTCAGGCATATTCAAGCAGCTGACCACACATGAAATATACAATAATTCATATGTGGAAAATATGTATTTATTATTGTTAGAATTCCCTTTGAAGCTGAAGTCCTGCTGCCGGTTTAGTGTCTCAATGACGGTCTCCTCATGTCCTCTAATTAAAACATCGTTAGTTTTAATGCACAATGACAATAACATGCCTGCACAGACAAGATGTGAAAGTTTAATTTAAACATTAAGTTATGAATCTAAACTCTGCCCTAAAACAAACTTAACGGTACCAGTGAACAAACATCAGTCTCTGATAACATTTTAAAAGTTATGGACACTGAAACCTAGTTATAGTTATATCTCATGTATAACCGCTATACGCAGACGTGAATACCAGCGGGTCATTTCACAGAAGACTCCCCGAGAACAGGCTGCTCTCTGCGGGCTGAGATGAGGCTGACCGCCCGCTGTTGGGGGGTCTGACGGTCCCGTTAACTACACCTCACATCTCCCACATCCTGGAGCTCATTGTGAAGAAGGCTCAATGTTGATAAACCGACCACTGAAATGTTTAACAACTAACTTATAGTAACAGAATACACTTTAATATATATATCGATATAAATGTTATAATATATAACATCACATCTTAGTTTAGGAAATCGCTTAAGTTACGTGAGGTTGGTAACCGATGTCGTGTTTTTAAATGCACATAAGACGCTAGAACCAACTGCTCTTAGTGCTAACGTTAACCCGTTAACTTCCTTAACCCCCCCAACCCAGTAGAGACTCTGACCCAGACTATCAGCTGAACCACTCCTGGGGCCATGTACTGTTCTTATGAACATCAACGTACCAACACACATTTATAACAAATACGAGCAGTTCACGTTTCCGGGAGCCGCTGCGCTGTTAACTGCAGCTCGTCTGCCCGCATCCAGTTATTAGTGAAGTTATGAACCTGAAATATCACTTTCTAAGTCAGTAACGTTACAGAATAAACAGACACCGAAACTGAACTCGCTTTGCTCCTTTTGTATTGTTGTCTGATCATAAACTAACTTTACATTTAGTTGTGGTCTTCTCTTCTCTCAGCCTGAAATATATCATGCTCCGTAGGAAAAGCTTTTCTTCCTAAACTAAATGAAATAAGATAAGGAAGGACTTTGAGACACTGCTACAGCTACTGAGACACAGTCACAGACATTAAGAAAGGGCCCTTATGTGACGGGAGACGCATGTTAATGACGTCAGTATGCAGCGTCAGAGTGCAGCAGTGTGCAGCGGCGCTGCTTTGTAGTCCATCTGAAGATGGAGGATGGATGAGATGAGATGAATCTCTGAAGATGGACTACAAAGAAGCGCATCTTAGCATGGTTTGTTACATTGCGGAGTCATGCATATGATATAAAACAACCCGGTTCAAAGTATTACTTTATTAACAATGTTGTAACATAAATGGGTTATACTAGGGGTTACTTACACGATCGCCGTTTCTCGGTCATGATCGTTATTTCTCGTGGACGGGGGATGTTACGTAGCTTGTGAAAGTGGAGTCGTATTCCTGTATTCTTTAAATACCGCAGTTTTCTTTTCCTAAATCTTCGTGGATTCCCTTAACCATCTTCCATTGACCCCATTACGTTTTCCACAGAGGTCAAAGAATAGTGGTTAGGAATAGTCGTTAAGAGGTAATTTCTTTAACAATTTGAATTCCGCCGTATTTTCGCCGCTGCAGACTGACGTCACTGACATGCGTCTCCCGTCGCATCGTACTTACGTCCAGTCCATATGAGAGTAAAAGCAGAGCTGCAGTCCAGACGAGTCTCTCTAAAGAAACAACTGAATCCAGCAGCTTTTCATCAACAACACAACAGGATCTCTGACAAACTCTGGTGAGTACGCTGCTCTACAAAGACTAGATACATGAACTAAACATCTGCTCCCAGTTTCGTTCAGACCACAGTATGCTGAGTGTTGGACGTCTGCTTTTATCACAGAAATGTAGAAATGTGTAATGTGTAACGAATCAGCGGTATAAACCAAACCACAGAGACTGAACTCTGGATAGTGAGATAGTGAGACTGGACACAGTCACAGCTAGCGTTAGCTTAAGCTAACTAACCGACCTGTTTCCTGGTTTGAATTCAAACCTCGGCTCCACCCAGACAGGAAGGTCCACTCAGGGCTGACTCTTTCACACTAAAGGTCTTTCTTCAAATTAATTGATTTTAATTTTGCACTGGTCCCTCGATGCTGCTATAAAATTAATAATACAATCAAATGCTGCTTATGTGTATAACCGTAAATCAAAAAGTGTTTTATTGTTATTATGTCTGATGTGACGGTAATGGAGATATGTTGCATGTTTAATATTAAATTAATTTATTCTATTGTTATTTCGCTTAATTAACAAGTGGGTTAAGAGTGTTATTCCTGGAACGGTCCAGACATCAGACTAATGATTGTTTTATTAGTATTTAATAACAATAACTTTCTTTGATAAATAAACAAACCGCTGGTTATGTATTGCAGAAAGCCCCGCTTTTCAGAGATGGGGAGTTGGGATCAGAATCAGTTCAATTCATTTTGTATAGCCCAAAATCGCTAATTACAAATTTGCCTCAGAGGGCTTTACAGTTTGTACACATGCGACATCCTCTGTCCCGAAACCCACACATCGGCACAGGAAACACTCTCCAAAAAAATCACTGCTAATGTTTGAAACAATTCCCTTTTGTAAAGAAACTCTTTAAAGATTTGTTTTTTACTTTCAATTTTTGGAGTAACATAACTGTCTTTGCTTGTGTCATGGGGCACAGACGAATGGATTTGGGAGAGAATCCGGTCATTTTATGAAATAAAACGTCTCTATACCAAAGAGCTCCTACTAAAAATAGTTTGAATCTGTAAAAAAAAAAAAAATCAAAAGGTATGTAATAACGTTCTTATTTCTCCACACTTGTTGTCCTCAGAGTGTCGATATGTCTGCTGCCAGCTGTCTGCTGACTGAGGATCAGTTCCTGTGCTCCATCTGTCTGGACGTGTTCACTCATCCAGTCACCATACCATGTGGACACAACTTCTGTAAAGCCTGCATCACTGACCACTGGAACGTTAATGCCCCGTCTAACTGTCCCAACTGTAAAAAGGTTTTCTACACCAGACCTGAGCTGCAGGTCAACACGTTCATCTCTGAGATGGCTGCTCAGTTCAGACTGTCAGCTCAACAGAAAGCCAGCAGCAGCAGCTCAGAGCAACAAGCTGCCCAACCAGGAGAAGTTCCCTGTGACGTCTGCACTGGAACCAAGGTGAAGGCCCTCAAGTCCTGCCTGGTGTGTCTGGTCTCCTACTGTGAGGCTCACCTGGAGCCTCATCTGACTACGTCAGGTCTGAAGAAACATCACCTGATGGACCCTGTGGAGAATCTGGAAGGCTGGATGTGTACGAAGCACGATAAACTGCTGGAGCTGTTCTGTAAGACCGACCAGATGTGTGTCTGCATGCTCTGCACTGTTGCAGACCACAAGAACCACGATGTTGTTCCTCTGAGAGAAGAATATGAAGGAAAGAAGGCCGAGCTCGGGAAGACTGAGGCTGAAGTCCAGCAGATGATCCAGAAGAGACGACTGAAGATTCAGGAGATCAAACACTCAGTGGAGCTCAGTGAGGAAGCAGCAGACAAAGAGGTAGTAGAAGGTGTCCTGGTCTTCAGCGCTCTGAAGGAGTCTGTTGAGAGAAGCCAGGCGGAGCTCATCGACACCATCAAAGAGAAGCAGAGAAAGACCCAGAAACAGGCTGAAGGCTTCATCAAAGAGCTGGAACAGGAGATCTCTGAGCTGAAGAAGAGAAGCACTGAGGTGGAGCAGCTCTCATGCTCTGAAGACCACCTCCACCTCCTCCAGAGCTTCAGGACCCTGAACACTGCTCCACCCACCAAGGACTGGACAGGAGTCAGAGTCAGTGCACCTTCATATGAGGGGACTGTGGTGAGAGCTGTGCATCAGCTGGAGAAGAAGCTCAGTAAACAGATGAAGCTGCTGGAGCTGAAGAGAGTCCAGCAGTCTGCAGTAGATGTGACACTTGATCCTGATACAGCACATCCTAAACTCATCCTGTCTGATGATGGAAAACAAGTTAAACATGGAGATGAAAAGAAGAATCTTCCAGACAATCCAGAGAGATTTAATTTTTGTTTTATTGTCTTAGGAAAGCAGAGTTTCTCTTCAGGTAGATTTTACTACGAGGTTCAGGTTAAAGGGAAGACTGACTGGGATTTAGGAGTGGTGAGAGAGTCCATTGATAGGAAGGGATTCATCTCTCTGACACGGAATGATTACTGGACGATATGTTTGAGAAATCAGAATATGTACAAAGCTTTTGCTGACCCTCCAGTCTGTTTCTCTCTTAAGTCCTGGCCTGAGAAGGTGGGGGTGTTTGTGGATTATGAGGAGGGTTTGGTCTCCTTTTATGACGTTGGTGCTGCAGCTCTGATCTACTCCTTTACTGACTGCTGCTTCACTGAGAAACTCTACCCATACTTTAGTCCATTTATTAATAATAATCGTAAAAACTCTGCTCCTCTGATCATCTCTCCTGTCAATCACTGAGTAGAACAAACATCTGGTTTTCTATTTAATAAATAATGTCTCCAGTTGTTCCTTAAACCTCCCTTTCCTGGGCCACACCTACCAGCTCTTACTGGGGGATCCCAAGGCTTTCCCAGGCGAGTGTTGAGAAATAATCTCCGAGCTCCTCACTGGTGACTGAGCTTCTCACCCTAAGGGAGACGGCAGCCGACCTCCTGAGGAAAACCATTTTGGCCGCTTGTACCCGTCACCTAGTTCTTTCGGTCATGACCCATTATTGATTAGGTTACAGACCATAGGTGAGGGTAGGAACGAAGATCGACGGTTAGATCGTTGTGCGAGTGCAATACCTCCCGCTGATCTGATCTTCCTGCCAAACTCACACTCCATCCTCCTTTAACTTGAGAACAAGACCCTAAGGTACTTTAACTCCTTCACTTGAGGTAAGGACTCATTCTCTACCCGGAGTAGGCAATCCTTCGATTACCTGCTACCTACCTGAACAACACTGGCCTCAGATTTAGAGGTGCTAATCCTCATCCCGACAATCAGATCAGCAGCACCCTGAATTGTAAACCCTCCTTCCCCAGACTACGCCTCGATATCCTGTCCATGAAAACCACAAACAGGATTGGTAACAAGGCGCAGCCCTGGCGAAGGCCAACCCCCACCGAAAATGCCTCCGCCTTACTGCCGAGCACCCAAACACTGCTCTGGCTTTGGGTGTGCAGGGATTGGATGGCCCCAAGAAGAGACCCCCTCCCCCTTACTCCAGCAGCACCACCACAGTATCTCTAGGGCCCCGGTCTTCTTCAGGGACCTCACAAAACACAAGTAGACCGGATGAGCATACTCCTAGGCCCCCTCCATGATCCTTGCAAGAGTGAAGAGCTGGTCTGTTGTTCCATGACCAGGACAAAATCTGCATTGTTCCTTTCCAGCACCTTCAAGTAGACTTTACCAGGGAGGCTGAGCAGTGTGATACCCCTGCAATTGGCACACTCTGGTCCCCCCTTTTGAAGAGAGGTACCCCTCAACACCCATTTCCCTCAGCATCTCTGGACGGATATCATCAATCCCCGGGGCTTTGCTACTGCGGAGGTGTTTGACAACCTCAGTGACTTCCCCCAGGCAAAATTAAATAATATATTCAATCTATATTTTTATTGATTTTATTACTCATTCCACCACTTCAAGGAGTAATGACCAAAAACCAATCCTGCTGCTCGTACACGCGTTTCAATTCTGAACTCTTCTTCAGGAGTAGAAATGTTACAAATGACAAAGCTGGGTTCAGTGTTCAAGGTTTATTGTGGAGATGATGTCTTTGCACCATAATGTTCTCATCATCCGTTGGGGGGAAGGAAAGCGTGCGTTCACACTACCATGTCTTTTCCTACCGGCTAACATTGGTACAGCCGGTTCAGTCGGCTGATGTCGTTCTTGCTCATCTGGTCGGCCGTGCCAAATTCGATGTTGGGGTCGGGGATGGGAACCATGGTGGGCTTATTGTTCCCGGAGAAGGCATACCTGCAATTTATCAAGAGTTCTATTATTCTTTGTTTGGATAAACAAATGAGGAGAAATCATTGCTATTTAAATATTGTGTAGAGGGTTTATTTGCTCATATTTCAAATATTAAAACAATAACCGTTTTTATGTGTGGTTAGTGTGACTAAATCTGTGATTTTGTTGGACAAGAGTAATACATTCTAAATATTTATAACAAGAATATTATATATTACTCTGGCTGAATTTTTTCCTGTGCCCATGTGAGTTTTTGGGGAATTGAATTTGATTGAATTAAATTGAAAAGGTAAGACTTATTCTAACCTTTCTAATATATATTTTGGAGAGTTCAAAGACTAAAATAAAGATCACGCTATACTCAGTATAAAACATAAGGGAACAAATCTCAATGTACAAACAATTAACAATCCATCAATCCCCATCACTTTCAATGAACGGAGGTGATATGAGTGGTTGCCTTAACTACCTGTGGTACTGCATGACAGAGTTGTAGTCGTAGGGGGTGTTCAGGTTGAGCGTGCTGATCTTGTCGAAGGCGTACGCCCAACCTGAGAGGACAGAAACCAGAACAGGGGTGACAAAAGAGAGAATGCCTTTATACGATAGTTAGTATTTTAGTAAAAGATCAAAGGGCTGATTGCAAAAGGCAATAATTTGGTGTGATTTCAATTGATTCCCAAGGAAATTATTGGAAATCACCGATTTCCATAGAAACAATAGCAAGCTGACCTTTGAGGGGCCGGAAGATGGAGGAGCTATCCATTATTTTATAGATCTTTTGAATAAGCTCTCGTTAGCACCCGTGCTAAGCTAACTAGCCTCACTTTCCCATTTCTGTGACTGTTTTATTGAACAAAATTCTGCATGGGGGTCCAACACCAGAACTGTACAGAGAATCTTCTTCTTTCCTAATCTTTGTCACTTTCTTTATTAGAAATGACTGAAATAACAGTCAATCCGATGTCACTTTTGATAATTAAGTGGGGGATTATTTTAGGTTTAAGATGTTTCTTTAGATTCTTTAGAAGATTTAGAACATAATTAGGGGAATCGAATAAACAATTTCTTCTTCCGGCCTCTCAAAATGTAATTTTCTTTTTTCATGTGGGACTGTTAGAGTAACATTCTTGTAATGTGGACGTCACAGACCCGTCCCGATGTTCTCCCACAGGATCCGGATGTGCTGGTCCCTGTCGGAGCGGCACTGCTCGTGGTTGAAGCCGAGGGCGTGGAGGAGCTCGTGCTGCACGGTGCTGTGGTAGAGGCAGCCCTGGCGGTCCAGAGACACCGTCTGGGAGTAACCACGGCGACCCACGTAGGAGTAACACCTGCACCCAAAAACACACAGGGGAAGAGCAGCATGGCTCCGTTGTTCATTCATTCTCCAAATTGCAACTAAAAGTAATTTGAACTCGTAAAACATTATTTAACAAACGTTTGGACGTCCCAAATATGTCTAAATGTGAAGTAAACATATTGACATGTGTTTGACATGTGGTTTGATGTGAGACAACTCCGTTTTTAAGAGACTCAAAGAGCAGGTCTTATCTAACATCCATCCTTTTGCCTTAAACAATGCTTTATTAAAAGGTGCGTGCCATTCACACGCACACAAGCACTGTATGTTACCCGTTGTCTGACTGCAGGCTCAGGTAGTCCCTCTGGCTGGTGCGCTGGACAAAGTGAATGCAGGAGACATCGTGGAAGGAGAACAGGCCTCGCTCGATGATGGAGCGCTCACGAGAAGCTGGCGAGACACGAGGAGAAGACTTTCACTTACTCGCACATATCCGTCGTAAAAGAGCCACCTGTGTTTGATCATGGTCATGTTACATGGGACCGCGGGGGCGCTGTGAAGCTAACCCTGACCACATTGTTCATGGTTTCCAGACTATTCTTAGAGGACAAAGAGGAGGCCGCGGTGAGGACGTGTCCAGTTGGACTGCAAAGGCTCCCTTTTGTTTCCGTAAACTAGAAATAATAATTGGACTTTGTTCATTGGTTTGGAGCCGTTTAAGAATCTTGATTTCGGCGATTTAGCTGTCAGCATGTTTTTTGGAGCAATTTAAAGCAAGTTGAGACAACATCAATCACATTAAGCCCAAACCGAAAGGAATCCCTGCTTTATGGTCTGTTTGATTCTACATGGACCATAATTCACCAAATGAACATCATGCTGTATTGAAGACGACTTGAAACTAGAGATTAGACCATCAACTCATTTTTACAATGTTTACTGAGGGAACAAATCAAGAGAGAAGTAATTTTCTCATAGACGTCTATGGGACCAGAGGAGTCGGCCCCTGCTGATCCGTACAGAGGATGAAGCTTTAGGTGTGAGGCACTTACACGCAGACTGCAGCAGATAGTTGAGGTTACACGCTGTAGAACACACTATTTACCAAATAAATGAAAATGCTGCTTAATGGAAAATGGAGTCGTAATAATATACATGTGATCCCTTTTTCTAAATTGTAATTGTTTTGTAGAGAAAGAACCTGAGATCCAACGATAAAAACTACAACACTGATTTACCTCAAACCAGGTTTCTTTCATCAGATGTCATGTTTGCAGCGTGTGGTCAACAAGTATTGCTCAGCGTTCGGGTACTTACAGTAATGTGCGGCGATGACATAAGGAACGTACACCTTCCCATCTGCAGATTTTGCCCACATGCAGCCGCCGGAGGTGCAGGGGTCAGCGTTCCTCTCACTTTCATTGTCATAAGCGATGTCATCCACCACCAGGGGCTCCTCTTCAGTGTGCACTGTAAGAGGACGTCAAAGGGTCAGTAGAGCTCCACATGCAGTAAAAGTCACATTGTGTGTGACAAAAATACAAAAATATTCCTGCTGCATCGATGTGTTTCATTGTACCTCCTTCATATGCTGTTTAGTGATATAGTCTGCATTTATGCTCATAGTCTTATCGTATGTCCAGTGAGAACCTCTAAAAATAACAGTTTTAAGCTTTGTGATGATGTATTTTCCACCTGATCCAAGAGGCTTTTTAAAAGGTTCATTTATCTGAAGAAGCAGCAGGATTTTGACACTACAGCCTTCAGTTTATCACATACTTACCGCAGTGGTTGAGTTAATGTACTCACATTTCACCTCTGAATTATAGACAATACTTAAGACAATATATAAATATGTAAAGTTCAAAGAAGCCATCTTCCACCTGAATAAGAAAAAGAAGTAGATGAATGAAGGAGCTGGTGGTCTTACCAACATCCTTGTTGGCCCTCCACAGCAGCTCAGAGACGGACAGTCCCTGAATCAGGGACGAGACGTCTCTCATTAGGACCAAAGGGACACTTTGCACGTTGCAAGACGACAGCGTTCACCTACATAAGACGCTTCAGAGCTTTTCAGCTCGATTATATAAATTAAATATCTATCTCTGAATCTGTGATAAGTCATTATTAAAGATGCCCTAAAGGTTATCTAATAGTTCTGCGTATTGGATGATGATTTTAAATGAGGTGAACACTGCAACACACTTATCCCACAAGGAGGTTGGAGACGGGCTCACCTTCTCTTCGGCCAGGGAGCACCAGGAGAGCCCAAGGAGGACGAGGAGGATGAAGGTGCTCTTGAGGAAAGCCATGCCGCCTGCCTGCAGATGTGCAGTGTTTAATGCAGGGTCCTTCTGCAGCCGCTGATTTTATATCAATATCTAGCCGCTGGGGAAAAGCCAGGAGAGCTTTACTTAGTGATAAGAGGCACGTTGCCTTGAAAACATTTGGCCAGTTCCCACCCTGAGACATATAGCCATGAATTACCTTGATGTGACCTTGAGAGACTGGGGGAACAGAGTGCACCTGCCTCATGTCAATAGATCCTCTGGGTGGATAAAACACAATTTTCTTTATTCAGTTCTATTTATTGTTTATTCCATCAACAGTCATTCAAATTTTCCTTCAGAAAAGGAAACGATTCCCAGATACCATAAAATGGCTTTTCTGCCAGGAATAATCAAGCAAATATACAATTGTAAATCCATTCAATACTTTATCACAAATAGAGTAGCTTCCATGTTATTTCCATGTTGTAGACGAGACTTTGGGGGTGGGGGCTCAATAGGGGTTTCTAATGGGAGACTGATGCGACACCTCTCGGAGTCTAGTGAGAAGTTGACATTTTAAATAAACAACGAACTGCACCTTCAGATCATGTGCGTTTTGGTTTTGTCCTCCTTACACTGGATACGAGAAGTGGACATACTGTCGACTTGAGCTTTGAAGCCTTGGATTTGTTGATTTGGCTGTCGCCAGCTTAGTTCTTATGCAACCAAAGACCAGGAAGTGACCGTATTAGGACGCAGGGGAGTGAGGGAGCAACACTATATACGTTGCTGGTAGAGACCCGTCAAAGACCAGTAAGCCCCGCCCTAAAGCATCCCCTGCTTTGTGGTCTGTTTGACTCTAAAATGGGCCATAATTTCTAAAAGAACATCATGCTGTATTGAAGAATTGAAACTAGAGATTGAGACCATGAACTCATGTTTACAAGTTTTACTGAGGGAATCAATCAAGAGAGAAGTAGTCATCTTCTCATAGACTTCTGTGGACCTGAGGAGCCGCCCCCTGCTGGTAACTAGAGATAATAAATACATATTTTAAACTTTATTCTCTTGTTTTATACTAACCCATAGCCTTATTCTACTAACCCAGCGGCTCCCAATCTTAAGAATGCTGCGGCCCAATTTGAAAATCTTTCGCGGCCCACCCAAACCTTTAATCACAACTCTGATCAAAACATAATGATTAAATGACCTTAAGAATTTAACCAAAATTAAACATTCGCGAGCAAAAGTCTGTCTTGCGCGAGCAAAAGTTCGTCTTGCTCGCTCGCGAAACGTGAACTTCGTTGCTCGCGAGGAGAATCTCTGCTCGCGCTCGAAGGAGTTTTCTACGCGCTCGCTGTTCTTTTTGACAGTAAGGTGGAGACGGTGCTTTCAGGGTCCCATCGATGCTGCGATAGCAGACCCAGCTGCAGTAAAACGACAGCTTCTCTGGATGGATTCACTACCACTTCAGCCCACAGGGGCTGCCAGAAATCACCTCAATTTTAGTAACCAAGCTGCAGAAGAAGAACATGGTCAGGTGAACCGTCACTCAGAGAACACTAAACAGCAGTTAGGAGCTTAACTGTGATGCTCAAATAATCCTTGAGACGTTTTATTTTTCTTACAATTCTATTTTTACGCTCTTCCTCTGTTGCAATGGTGGATCAAACTCTGGCACCGTACGGATACAGTTCTAGAATAAATGAAATGACAGGAGTGACATTAACATTTATTCAGACATCAATAAGAGCAGCAAGCTGGAGACAAATAAAAACGGTACAATCAGATGCAGGAAACACTCCACCTTCAAATATTTTCCCCATTTAAAACATTTTATTTAACCGGGTTCATGATTATTAAGAGTTTCTGCTGAGTCCCGTTGGGGAAGAGTCTAGATCAGAAGGAGAGGTTGATGAGCGGAGCGTTGTTCTCCCTCTTCTCCTCCGGACTCCACTTGATGAGCGGAGAGCTCAAGTCGATCAGCTGCTGAACAGGAGACACGAAATGCATTTAAACAATTATCATGACAGCGACATACAAGCCGTATCCTAGCTCACTGAACGGTCCACTCGGCCTTAGAGGGGACATGTCTCCCCTAGTACCTGCAGAGGCATTAACCTACCCCACCCTCCAGCTGGGAGGGGTGGATTGTGGGATATTAATGTGTTAACCTGGGTGGAGGCCGTGCCGCTGGTCCGGATCAGGTCGGGCGTGTTTGTTAAGTCGATGAGAAGTTTCTCGTGAGGCTGCGGAGTCGGAGCGGGAAGATCCAACAGGAGGACCTGGGGAGGGAAGGGTGAGAAGGTCGGCTTCTAGGATGAAATGAGACAAACCTTTATAAAGCTCTTGTTGCAGCAAAAAAAACATGAAAGTAGTTTAAAAACCAAACAGACCTTCCAGGTAGAGGAGGAAGCAGCTGATGAAGAATGAACTAAAATACGTTCTACACACTCGCAAAACCCTACTGGTTTGTCAGTAACAAAATGCCATTTAACAAAAATGCCTAAAACCGACCTCCTCAAAGTAATTCTCTGTATCCTTAGATCTCCTCTTTATTAACTATTTTATACAAATCCTGTGAATAAACATTAGTAATATGATGTTCAGCTTCACTATAATGAATCTAGTATTAGAGTTTTAAGACCCTGTTTCTAAAGAGTCTCAAACATTTAAACTGATATAAAAAATAAAAAAAAAGTTGTGGAAATTAGAAACTGAATACTAATACCTGAAAAGGATAAACAGGAGCTAAATTATACCCCAAATCAGACTTTCACACAGATCTGAAACTGCAGGACATTAATAAATCCATTGTAAACAGACCCGGGCTGAGCGTGACCTCTGACCTCCTGTTTCTTGCTCTTTTCTGTGCTTTCCAGTTCAATCGGGTTCTTGTTGCGCTGCGAGTCGTCCTGAATCGGAGCTCGAGGATCAGAGTTCTCTGATTGGTCAGGGCTGGTGGGCGGGGCAGCAGGCGGCTCCTCCTCCTCCTCGAGACAGAAGGGCTGGACATCCGGTGCATTAACAGGCTCCGCCTCTTGTGCGTCTGCAGGGGCGGGGCTACACAAAAACAACACAGCGGTGAATTTGCGACTTTCTCCCCCCCCCCCCCCCGATGGATTACTATTGGTCGGCAACAGCTTGAAGCATTTCACCTGCAGCTCATCTCCCTCTGGACGGAGGCCGGGTCAAAGTCGAAGGTGGGCGGGGGTCTAGTTGGCGTGGCGACGGGGATGCCGGACATCCTGCGCCTCACCGGGGTGGGGAGGGCGGAGGGGCGCCGCGCCTTTACCGAGGGCGTCAGGGGAACAGAAGAGATCGGCTTCTGAGGAAGACGACTGCAGACGAGGGGGGCGGGGGGGATTGATGACATCACTGAGAAGGGCGGGTAGAACTTAACCCAAACAAACTCAGATCCCCCAAAGCGCTCTGGCAGTATTAAAAAGCGCGTCTTTATCGCCAAAAGGTTTTTCACATCCAGAAGCCGTAAAACATGACATCAGATTGTCCTTTTTCATACGGTCCAAGAACACATGGTCTGAGACGGCAACAAAAAGTAAAATTTAAAAATGTAAAATCAAAATAAATGTTGTCACATGTGTAATGTCATCTTAGAATAGAATTGAAGCTCTTGTATAAATTCAGTGAGAGTGTGTGTGGCGCGCCTACCTGTCCACGCCGCTCACCGACGTCGGCCTGGTTGGCCTCGAGACATCTGGAGCTGAAAAACGAAGACGGACGTTTGCGCTCTTTATTATTATTATTATTATTGTGCGTTTTAAAGTGTGGATGGAGTAACCTGCATAAGAGAACCTGGTTGCGTTAGACTCCTTTGTTGTAAAATTATTATGATTACCCTTCTTTTAAATTATAAGCCTGCCCTATAATAAGACTGTACTGTGTGTGTATTATTTGTTTGTTCCAATTTCAGAAGCAGAATTCATATTTTTACATATTTGTGTTTGATCTTTTCTTCATCTCCACGAGGACACAAACGACCTCGCAGCTTCTTACCGACTCCTCGGACTCTCCCGCTGGGTGTCGGTAGGACCGGGGCCTCTGGTCTGGACTTGTTCTTTAACCCACTGTGCAGCCGGGTCGAGGCAGTGGAGGAGACGGCGGCGGTCCTCTCCACAGCCCTCTTGGCAGGAGTCATGTGGAGGGGCGTGGCCTCGGCCCTCTTAAGCGGTGTGGACACAGGGGCTTTGACATGCTCCGCCTCAGACAGCTTCCTGGCCCGCGTGGACAGCGAGCGGCGGCCAGCGGTGGAAGGCGCTGGCTCCGCTGCGGCGGCGGTGGAGCGGCGCGGCCTGCTGTGACTGGCCGGTCTGCTGGGGGCGGGGCCAATGGAGCTGCTCTGACTCCGGTTCAGAGAAGAGTTTGCTTTACCTGAGAGGAGACGACAGTACAAGACACAGAATTCATTTGTGACTGTGTGCAGAGCCCCTCGTGCGGTTTATTATACAATCTGGAAAGGTACAGATTGTAAACTCATCATCAAATGTTTCCTGATATTGTTCAGGGTTCGTTTGTCAGGACACTGAACCATATGGGTTTCGTACATTTAGCTGACAAACCGGCAGCAGCTTGGTAATTGGATACATGGTAGCGTACCCGTCGCTGTGGACACGCGTTAGCTTTTAGCAGATAGCGTACCTTCACCTGGGCACACAGGTACATGCAGGCGCTCGGGTGCCAGTTTGCGTACCTGTAGCGGGGGAGAGCGAGAGGCTGGAGTTGAAGCTGGACACTGAGGACGAGGAAGAGGACGTGTTCTTCCTCTCAGTCCCCCTCATCCTCTGAAGGGGCGGAGCTTTCACCCCTGACTGGTTCCCCAGAGCACGCTGACGGGGAAAAACATTGTACTCTTAGGTTTTGCATCGCGAGAGGGTGTTAAAAATAGATTCCATTAATCCTGACTGTAGTTCACTGATGAACACTTGACAATGGTCAAATTTGTTTATCAGGTATGCTACCTTGGTGGGCGGAGCCATTGTGCGCTTTCCCAGAATGCTGGAGTTGAGGGATGAGTCGCTGATGTCAGACGCCACGCTTGCCGAATCAGAGAGCAAATCCTCACATGACCCCCCTCTGCTGGGGGGGCGAGAAGAGGGGCTCCGCCTCCAACCACCCATTGGCTATTTAATTTAAAAATAAACAAAAAAAAGGGAAAAAAATGAGCAGACGGAAAAGAAATAATCTCTGTAACAGAGAAACATTGTTTTATTTCTACCTTTTTGGGGATTTAGTTACCCAGGATGAGAGGTGTCCACAAGCAGCCATTTACGAATGCTTTGAAGTCACGCTAATGACGCCCAGCAGACTGTTTAGCCTCACAAAAGGTTGCGTAGAAATATGAATATTTTGTCTTTGGTTCTACTTTTGTTGGAAATGTATCTAGGCTTTTTCGAGCAACATTTCGGATAAAGATTAGCAGGGCAATAAAGCATTAAATTGTCAGGTCTGTTCACATTTAAGCTCCAGGAGCACAGAGACAGAAAAAAAAAAACACAGAACTTCTCTCCTACTTTGCTCGGTGGTTGCAGCCTCTCCGCTTTCCTCTTGCCGGCCGCACAGGGAATCGTAGCGGCAGCCGGTTTGCTCGGCAGCACCACGGCAACGCCGAGGGTGGCTTTCCCACGCAGCCCCATTCTGGGCAAAGGCCTGACCCCGGCCGCGGGACTCAAGGCGCTCTGTCTGGCAGCAGGGCGGGCAGATGTGGCCGGACGGGTCGACGTAGTTATAGCGCCCGGGCGGACGGATGTGGCTGTAGTGGCCGGACGGGCGGGTGTTGCTGTAGTGCCCGGGCGGGTGGGGGTAGCCGTAGTGGCGCCTCGCTCGGTCAGCAGGCGGTGCCGGATGGCAGGCGGCAGCTGCTTCATGGGACTGTCCTGCACGCAGAAGGTCTGCCTTTTGACGGGGCTGAGCGCACTCGCGCGTCGATCGACCGCAGCCAGTTGGGCCTCAGCGTCCTGGGAGAACGCGCCAGTCGCCTCGTCGGGGACTGACGGGGGCACAAGAAGACTAGCGCACTGCAGTTGGCCGGCTACTCTCTGGGCCTCCTGACACATGGCGTCCAGCTGCTCGCCATTCAGCGGGCTCCAGCTCGTCCGCACGCCGCCTCCACTGGCGAGGGACGCCACATTGGCAGAGACACACCTCTCCGCGTGGCCGACGGGACCCACAAACACCTCGTCTTCATCACCGTTGGAGCTTCAGAGGGCAAAAGAGACACCGCAACGCAAACAGCTCACATTTCATCTTCCATGGTATATGATTTCTCCATTTATACGCTGTTGTGTTTGAATGTAACCACTTTTTGTTTGCATCATTTATACACCGGCACTTTATTGCGGACGCCTTCATTTTAGAATTATAATGAAGCTAAACATTTAACTTGGGAAGCTGGGTCGTAGGTTTTAGTGAGTATATCAAGCTGAAACTAAAGAGTGGAGGGAACATTAAATGACATTTGGGTGTTTGCTCTAGAAAATGTGTCCATGAGCAGCTCACACCTGATGAATTACAAGCACCAACATTTAATGATAGAAAAGTACTGGTATGAGTATTTGCTGCGGTGTAAAGTACTGTGCTGAACTATGTGGTACTTGTCCTTCGTACACGTTTCCATCTCATCCATTACTCAATAATAATTACGAGATTGAATACAATAACAAAATGACTGCAGGATGGATTGAATACATACAAAGATTTGACAGCACTGAAGCTTTTACTTTTACTTTTACTGAATGAAGGGATCGGAGTCCTACCTGGCGGGAGACAGAGAAACATCGAAGTCGAACTTCTCATCGATCAGAAAGAACACATCTGTTCAGAGGCAGAAGGACCGTTGATATCGAACACATGTGTAACACGGTGTGAACGGTTTAGCGCTGACTCCGGATCAGTTGGTGTAAAACGTACCGCTCTTATCTCGACAGTCCATCTTCTCTGTGGGCAACAGATCGATCCGGATCAGACCTGCAGCGGAACCTTCAACTGTAAACACAACATTTACACTCACACTGTGAACAAACAGCGGAGAGACGGAAGTTAAACACGATCTTTAGTGGCCGCGCTAACTTTAACGTTTGCATGCTAGCAAGGTTAGCTAAACTTAGCTAAACCAAAGGTCAACCGTTAACTCAGCTTTAAACTAAAGGTAAATATATTTAAACAATACGTTTGGCTCAAGGAACTCACGGTAGGATTAAAGTAAAAAAATATTACAAACCTCTAGCGCCACTGAAAACAAAAAAAACTGCCTCGCATTCAAACGGTGACAAATAACCACAATTTAAATCTGATGCACTGCTGGTCACGTGGCACTCTGCCCCACTCAGCTATTGGTTGAAAGTGTGTGACGAAACAATGAACACAATTGTGGGGATTGTAGTCCGTAGTTTTAGGAACAATTTCCGGGTTTCTTCACCCCATGGAATATGAGAATAAATATTTGATCGCTTCCTTTTTTAAATACTTTTAAATAGTTAATCATTTGTCTCCAAATAAATAAGATAACATTAACTTTTACATGCACAAATAAGAGATAAAGAAAATGTAAAGTATAAATAAAGTGATAAAGACATTAGAATATTATTTCCTTACAGCAATTGTCGTTGATTTTGAGTCATTGGAAAATTGTTGACTTTTAGTTTAGTTAGTACAGGGGATTATATTTTTCTTAAAAAGAAGAGAGCATAGACTGAAGAAAGACAGAAGAAAAAAGGAGAATAGTTTATACAACCTTTTGATATATAGTTTGAGATATTTTTCCCTCGTTCAAAATTTGAAATGTTTATTTTAGGAGTACACATTTCTTAACATTTATATTTAAATCTTTAGTTATGATTTTCCTGTTCTTTCTGTACTGTTGTTTTTTCATTATCCTTTAACAGTTAGTTAGACAGAAACTAATTTAGAAGTTATTCAATCAAATCACACACTATTAGCATAGTAAACTTGCCCTGTTGTGGAAACGTAGACGTGGACACTTCGTGGTGCGTCTAGAAAAGGATTGGATTTTTACACTTTGTCGTATTCCTAATATTTAAGTTAAAGATCAATATACTTACTTCACTACTGAATAAATAATGGGTAAATAGTTGAAACGTTGTGCCTCTCCAAAGCAAATAATACAATCTGCACAGGTTGGTTAGATGAAATGAAATATTAATTGGCTTTTTACTTTTTTTCATGTGGAATTCCAACAATAGCATTTTCTTGTAAATCATAACATAATAATGTTTAATAAATATTTTCCTAGGAAATTCAATTGTTACTTATTATTAAAATATTTTCTTTATTATTTTTAAAAATTACATTAAAATGTCCATTTTCCATGCCATTCGTGAGGAGCTCGGAGTAGAGCCACTGCTCCTTTGCGTCGAAAGGAGCCAGTTGAGGTGGTTTGGGCATCTGGTGAGGATGCCCCCTGGACGCCTCCGTAGGGAGGTGTTTCAGGCACGGCCAGCTGGGAAGAGGCCCCGGGGAAGACCCATGACCAGGTGGAGAGATTATATCTCACTGGCACTGGCCTGGGAACGCCTTGGGATCCCCCAGTCAGAGCTGGTAGACGTGGCCCGGGAAAGGAAAGTTTGGGGTCCCCTGCTGGAGCCGTTGCCCCCGTGACCGGACCCCAGATAAGTGGCTGAAGATGGATGGATGGATGGATTAAAATGTCCAAAATGTAAAAACAAACCTCTGCAGGTTGTCGGAATATTAAAACTGTAAATAGAATGAATAAATTAAAAGAAAATAAGGAAACTTCAGTGATGGTAAACCAACCATCAACATGGTCTCTTTAAACCATTCCATTATTAAACCAATTTCCTCCTGCAGTGAGAAAGATTCCCGTAGGACAGGTATGATGTAACGAGTGAGGTGGAGCCTGAAAGGGAAGGATTTATGATGTCATAGAAGCATCACGAACGAGGTGGAGCTTCAGCTGGTGGCCATGAAGGACAAGGAGCCGCATTTCTTCTTCTCTGATGTAAAACTGTCACAAACATCCTGCTCTGGAATATGTTTTGAACTTTTAATAACTTTTGGTTTTACATATTTTGAAACAACAACAACAACAACAACAACCACCATCTTTTTTTTTTTTTTACAAAAATGCAAGACATTTTCTTAAACTTCCACAAACAGAGGTATTTGTAAGAACACCCCCCACCCTGACCCAATTACAGCTGAATGACTTGATAAAAGATTTCATTTGCAGATCTTAAAGTTAAACCCAACACATATCTAACCCTGAACTCGTCACCATCGGCTCACGTGTCTGCTGAACAAAAGAAGCTGCGACTACGTTTAAACAACAACATCGATATTTACAAAAGGAACTGATTATCGACCGATCACCTCACAATCACTCTTCTCCTAAACAATAACTGTAGACTGTCTATTCAAATACAGAAGGGCCATCGGTCAGTGTGAACCTTCGGCGCCACATTGACCACAAACACACCTGCAGACACTTCTGCTTCCTGGATTCTAAAACCGCAACAGCAGAGTCTGTTTTTAAACTTGTTTCTTTTCTCCATTCTCCCTGAAGAAGCAGAAGTCTGGCCGTAGCAGACCTTCCTTAACAGCAGGGGGTCCGGGGGGCCTCACAGCGAGGTCTCCAGGCTGTGCAGGGGGCTCCCCGGACAAGGCGGCTGCCCCGCTGTGTTGGAGGCGATCTGACCCGGCGGCAGGAGGACGTGGTCCAAGACGCTGTTGTCCTGAGCCGGCGGGAGGGGCAGAGGGTCGGAGAGCTCGATTGGCGGGGGGGCGACAGAGTTCAGCTTGGTGGGAGCGTCGTCCTCGCACTCCACCTCGTCGATCAGCGGGATCTGATGCGCCGAGTCGTCGATGCGGAACTCCGGGTGGCTCATGAAGCTATGGATGGAGCTGCGGGACATGGGCGTCTCCAGGCCTTCGTAGGGGGACACGCTGTCTCTGAAGGCGTTCACCACTCGGATCTGAAGGAAAATCAATGACCTGTAAACTCTGGTTCGAATACGGCCATCAAAGTGGATGGACAACCAGTAAACAAATCCTCTGGCTCAAAGATGGCAGCCAACAGCCATCAGGCAGCCATTAGCAGTTAATCCGGTGGATTAAACTTCCTGATCCCTTTTGTTTGGACGCAGATATTTTAAATAAATGAATGTACAATTTATGATTATGCCGCTGCTCCTCTCACTGTGAGCTCGTTTGTCAGAGTATCATCTTTTAATGGGAATCCATACCTGCGTGGCGATGCGGTTGAGGCCGCGGCACCAGAGCACCTGGCTCTTCTTCAGCTCCATCTCGCCGTGGTCGATCTCATTCGCGTCCTTCATCTCTTCCAGCTCCTCCTGGGGGATCTCCTCCTGCTTCCTGCCGTGACCCGCTGTCGTCAGGAACTTCAGCCAGCGAGTGGGGACACTGGACACCAGCTGGGAGGAAGGCCCGACACCAACATTACACCCCGGTCAGACGCAACAGCATCACTTCCTGTTCATCAATACCTCTGTGACCACCTGAAGGTTGGGAGCGTTTCTATTGACTAATGATGATAATCACTCATTATATCTCCTTTAAGTAGGCTGATTACCCTAAGGGGAGCTGGCATGTTGAAGAGCAGAAAAGGACAGAAGAGAAGGAGGTTGACGTCACGTTACAGAGGAGGATTAAACCAAAGAGATTTGTTGTTTTTTTGTTGGGATTAAGTTACCTTTTGATAACGTAAGAAGAATACAAAACAAAGTTAGAAATTATTGTTTGTTGCCTCACCTCACAATCCCACCCCCTCGAGACATCACACTACGCAAGGACGCTTTTTTTCAAACGTTAAAGCCATGGCAGGGAGCTGCACAATAACTAAAGTCATAATCATTATTCAGCATCTGCACTGAATCGTGTATTTCTTCGAGGCCTTGAAACAAGTGTGTTTTTTTAAAACACTGACCATGTGACCGACATTCGTAGTTCCCATCTAACCAGAAACCTTTGTTGCACATGTCCCATAATTACCTGTCCATAATCAAAGTACTGGCGAAAAGAGTCTCACCTGTCCCCACAGGAGGCTGCCGAAACCAAAGAAGATGCACCACAACCACTGCTCGGTGTTCAGGGTGACACAGCTGAAGGCTTTACCTCCAAACTGCACAATGACGATCTACCGGAGGGGAGAAAGAGACACGCCGTCATGGAGGGAATCCTCCCACCGGGGAGCTGACCGGTGAGGAGTCGCCCCATTGGGGGTTACCTGTATGATGAAGGTTCCTAGGAGGATGGAGCAGAAAATGAGGTTGTTGAAGATCCCCTCAAACACGTTCCTCTCGCCGTGGATTTTGCGAGCATTGATCTCGTTAAAGATCTGCATCAGGACAAACGTGTTGAACACGATGGTGTAGTGGTCGGAGGGCGGGGCGTGGAGGGGGGCGTTCCTGCCACTGTCGATGTCAAACAACGTCTCACCTGTGAAAGATGAGGGGTGGGGGTGGCACAGACTACTGAGGTGAGAAATCCTATTCTACCCTATTGTCCATGTATTTACCTCAAATTCAATTCCTTCAATTCCTTCATAGATAATGAAATAATGATTCATTAGTAAGTGTTTTGTTTTACCCAACGTCTGTTTGAGACCATGAAGCTGTGTTGCATTGACTGACCTTCAAAGAGAAGGGTGAAGATGATAGTCAGCTGGTAGACGGCGTGACCCAGGATGTTCTTCATCATTGTGCGGGAGATGAGCGGCTGTTCGCGACCGTAGGGACTCCTGAGCAGCAGCGCCTCGGTGGGCGGCTCGGTGGCCAGAGCCAGTGAAGCAAAGGTGTCCATGATGAGGTTGACCCACAACATCTGCACAGCTTTGAGAGGAGAGTCCTGGGACACAAACACAGACCGACTGTCAGGGTCAACGCATCAACTGTAGACTAACAATGAGTGTTTGACATTGACTTACAAGCAGTACGATATGCGTTATTTGTTATATGTCAAGGAGAAAAAGAGATTACTAATGTTTCAGTCTGATGACACCATTGATCATTATACACTTTGACTGACTTAAAATCAAATTGGGCATATTACAGTTTTAGCTTCAATGCTCTGGCCCCCAATCAATGTCAGATCACCCGATGACATGCCCATTTATATGTATGTACCACGTTCTTGTGGATTGCCTATATCATGATAATTTTGTTGTTTCACCCGGCTTGGGCAGCAGCTGATTGGGGTGCCTGTGCTGACCTGGGTAATGCAAGCACCGGTGAACGCCACAATGACGGCGACCACGTTGACAGTGAGCTGGAACTGCAGGAACTTAGAGATGCTGTCGTAGACGTTCCTGCCCCACATCACAGCCTTCACGATGCTG